TATTTTTTATTTGAACAGGTGCTTGCATGTCGCATACGGAATTTCATAGCGGCTTCAAGACGCGAGGAGGACGATACACTATCGTCGGCTCCAGCACGACCGTCACAGTAAGCGGAACGTGACGTTGGCGAAATGCACTTGCATGAAGGATAAACGCGTCATTCTAGCTGGTTTCCATTTTGTATGAGCGATGAGTTTCGACACCAAAGAACGTTCAATGTTTTTGCTACAATAATCCCGCAAACATTGTTCGAGATCGATGTGTATGGCAATGCGCAGTGATTTCTTTTTTCTTTCTTAGCGCGCAAAAAAAGTATAATTACGTTAAAATCACAATAAACTCCATTATCATGAAGCAACTATCAATTATGAATTTGAACGATTATTGACGGAAAAAAACTTCTTAAGATGTGACAACTTTTAACAAAATTTCGAAAAACAATATCAGCATCAATTAACAGTTTTTTTATGTAAATCATTTATCTTCAATTATACATATATTTATAATAAGAGTTATAAACTGTTAGTCGGCTTGTTCCTATTCGGAAAGCGAAGACACGCACGTGATATCTCGAATTTGATGTACGACGCGCAAACGTACGATACATTCATTACCACTCATCCCGGTGCGGATACCGGCACTAGTATAGCGTGCGCATTACTATCCGAGGAGGGTAGAATATACACGCTATGCAAGGATAAGCGCACTTCCCCAACTTCTCTCTCCCTCTCTCTTTCTCTGTCTCTGTCTCTCATCGCCGCGCCTCTGCTTAGCCGCCCACCTCTTACTTGGATTCCAGTCCAGACAAACAGGCTTGCTCTCTCACAGTCCGCGCGTTTCGCCAAGCAAGCACAACTCGCGCGAGGGTATTTGCGTATCCCGGCAACCCCCACCGAGATTCAGGCTCGGTTCTGGCTCTCTCGGCTCCGGTTCGGTTGGTCTCCCCGCCGTTGTGTACTACGCGACAACTGCTAAGTGCTGGCAAGCAATCCTGGCATCGACGTCTCTTACACGGAATTACTGTTAAGCGCGCGCCGCTTCGCGCGTTTCCGCCCTAAACTGATTAGTCCCTACGATTCAACGGAGTATCTCTACCGTGCCGTGCCGTGCTGTGCCGTGCGGTGCTGTGAGGGGCAGGATCGAGAATTTCACGAGGGCGCCTGAGAATCAGCTCGTCGCTGGTCAGGAACGCCGGAAGACGAGTCGAGGGGTGTCAACGACTTCGCCATTGAACGTCGGGCACGTCGACTCGAGGAATTTTGAAATTTAAGCAAGAGTTACGGGAATCATTCACAGTAGCATTTATTCCGCTACGATGTAGATTCCTCCCTCCATATTTGATTCCGTATGAATGCAAAGCATTTTTATGGCTTAGAACATTTCATAGTGGCAACAATAGTAAATATTTTTTTACAAATATATATCATATATTTAAGGAGTACACACGAGGACAATACATCTTTTGTTTCAGAAAATTAAATGGAAAATATATGTTTCCAATAAATCAATTAAATTGAATTGGCAACATATATGCTGATCGAATAAATATGAAAAATATGATCAAAATAATGCTTTTATAAAATTGAGCTCACACTCCACCCCAGAAAAAATTAAGATTAAAATTTGTAGAAGCAAAATAAAACATTCAATTAAAGCGAGATCTGTTTAGCAAATATACTAATAATGTTCAACTAAATAAATAATCAAGAACTTGAACCTTTTAATAGAAAGGAGACAAAAATAGAAAACACGTTAGTGTTTAAGATAAGAATATCATCAAGAAGCAAGAAAAAAGGGAGATAGGAAAGGAGGGAGGAGAGGGAGAGAGAAAAAACTCCATCTCAATTATGTATTCATAGCTGGAAAAAATATAACGCACGAGAGTGGCGGTAGAAGTCAATAGAAATGAAATATCAACGCTAGGTCCCCCGTCGGTCCTACGGTTCTCTCTCAGCCGCCTTTCCAATACGGGATCTAAAGTGTTTTTCGATATCACGAAAAATTCCGCCGCGCCACGGCGCGCATTCCTCGTCTTGGTTTTATTTCTTCTCTCCCGGGCGCGAGGCCGATTGCATGCGCTCTAGTAATATAAGTACCTTCTCGAGCGTGTATCTCACCGGTGAAAATCGGTGGTGGACCCGTGCGCCGCGCCGTCGCGCCCGAAGGAAAATACAATCGTAACGTCGAATATTTCTTACATGCGATACGATATATGAATGATATCAGATAGCAGTAAATATTCATTCAAAAATGCCTTATTGTCATCTTTATAATGCAATCGCGTACAAGTAGATGCAAAAATATTATATTGCGATACACTAAGGCTTGTATTTATAATCGATAAATTACGCGAATTTTGTATCGAAAAGCATATCAGATGAGATACTCAGAATAAAGTTTCAAAGATACAGACAGTTCAATGGTCACATTTTAATTAAAGATTAATTGAGATTGTACTCAACTAAATGTGAACAGTAATACGCGCGCAATTTCTCCCCCGTGAAATTTAGAAGAGAATTGCAAGCGCAGTATATTTTAAATGTAAACATCTATGTATTATTAACAAATAACCGATATCTACGGGTTTCCATTACATTAATTACTTAATCCGATGATTCGCGTATTGCTCCACGCTAATCCAAAAGTACTGAACAAATTACATTTAAATTAACAAAAACGCGATGCGAGGTACAATGAAATCTAACAAGTCTCAAAGAAATTATTATTGCCCGTAAATAACACGATAAAATAGTATATTTTATCGTGTATAATTTATAATCGCGCGAAATTCTTGGTCTAATAAACAGTCAATACATTTACAATCGTTAATCGCGGGAGTTAATCGATCACGCGCGTTGGTAGTAGCTAATTGTTCGAAATAATCGCATGAGGCCTCTTCTGGCTTTCGACACGATTGCGTTTCGATGGGTAAATGCGAAACAGTACGCGCTGTCGACTCGAGTCCCGTCGCGCGACACACACGGCGCGGCTTTGCGTATCAAAACAAATATCAAGGCAGAACATAAGCCAGCCTTATCGACACGAAATATTTTTTTAACGTATTTTATGAAATAACTACGCCAAATATTCTGTTTTTTTTTTGCTTTAAAAACATTCTTAGACTTCAAATCAAGTTTTTTTTTACTTTCAATCATTCTTTTCTCAAACTCTCTTTTCATCTCTAAAAAATGTTACAAGATTTAAACAATATTAACATACACATATAATTTCTTTAAAATCATCAATTGTTGAACTGAAAGAAATAAAACTCGGACAGTGTCTTAAGACAAACTTCATCTTCTCAATCGAATTGTGATTGCGAATATAACTCAACAAGTAACTTCAAGACAAATGTTTCAAGACTTATTTCTTCTAAGTTCTTCAGCTGAAAGCGATAGAGTAAATATTATATAATATCACGAGAACTAAAGATTCTGTGTATTATCTTCGTCTTTACGCATCAAATTCAAATTACGTTCAAGTTCAATAAAATCCTATTACTTTGTGTAAATATCAAAATTGCATGGAAATAATCTCTTAAGTTTTCGCTGCTATAAGTAGATTCACGAATAATAACATTATCATTCTTGACGATGTTAAGAAGCTTAAGAAGCTATGGGCAACCGCAAGTTAAGCCATCGACGGACTTCTCCCGGTTTGAATATGGGATTACCAGGTATATGTTTCTCGATCGATATTATCCGCGTTTTACATAATAAACGAGGTGCAGAACAACGGCGTTATCCGATGCGTACAACACGATATCACAGTATAAGTACTGTGACGATACCAGCTTGGAAAAAAAAAAAAAATAGTGGCGATCGACTATCAATTGCCAAGACGCGTGGCGCGAGATATTTCTATATAACGACGCAGCATTCGCTGCGTATCGCAACAGCGAGGAAGGCAAGCAATGTCAGTTCGCGATTGCTCCATTGTTAGACCATTTAGATATGTTTCATTGGTAGAGACGTGCACGAATGCGATGTGGGTAGAGACGATGTGCCTTGGCCCTTTAGAAATCGTACCGCGGGAATCGTATGCATGCATTCGCCGCGGGAATCGTGCAAAGCATGCAATCGATGCATTAAATAAGCTCCCGCATTCAAATCTGATGTAGCCTGGCTTCTTTCGTAAACCTCGCGTACCTTGGTGTATAGTTTTCTCAATCCATTACGGAATTACTGCGTTCCCGTAAAATGATTTCTACACCGCGAATACGTCAAATAAATCAAGCGAAAGAACGTAATTGAGGACTCCGTGTTCAAAATGCTCCTCTATTAACCGGCGTAATTTATGTTGCACTGTCATGGAAAGTTGAAAGTATGGAAGTAATATACGAAATAATTGGTTTTCTGACACTGTAGACGCAATATTATTAATGCTATTGCGATTAAATCAGTCATGAGGATAACATTTTTATGCAAAGTACATTCTTAATAGCACGAGACATATAAAAAATAGGCTACCAAAAGTAATATTTTTTCGATCCTAATGATAACAGCAATAGAGTAATGACAAAATACGTACGTTTATTATAGACGTCCTTAATTGCAACGCTTTACTATTCAGTACCTTGCTTTACTATTCAGTAATTAAAGCGCATAGGCTAATTACGGTTAGTAGGGTAATTCACGATCAATGGAGTTATTTATAGTTCAAACGACCTATTCGTGTGTTAATGGCGATATAAAATGTATCTATGTCGCTTGATATCTTGATATCTGAATTTATCGCCGAATAAAAATACAACGTTACGTTAATAACCCGCGCATTAGTACCCAGATGGCTATATGTCGGCCGCACTCGCGGGTACAATACTTGTAAACTCGTGTACGCGTTCCAGTTTCCAGTTTCCAGTTTCGCTTCGCAAATGAAAGGACAAAGCGACGAAGCGACCGACGAGGCGGCGCGAGCGGAGAGGCTCAAGTTTTCTCCTTTGCGCCTCTTAAATCTTAAGCAGAGACAAATGAAGCTGCGAAGTCTAGGCGCGACTTACCGTTAGGAGGGAACTCGTAGAAGAACGCAGATCTCGGGCTCAGACAACTGTAACAGAGGAAAATTACGGTTAAAATATGCTAACAATTAAAGGAACGACGCGGCGCGGCGTCCGCGCCGCTTGGCAAACCGCCCGGGCGTCTATGCGCTTTTCCGCTCCGTTTCCCATTCGTTTTCACCCGCAGCGATATTTCGCCGTGGTTACCGTCGCTTACCGAACAAACACGGTCAATACACCGGTCGCATCGAAGTGACGCGGGTATCGATGTTAAGCGTAATAGAGTGATTGGTCGTCGGGATTTAATACTTCCTTTGATACGCGAAATGGATCGACCAGCGCGCGCATTTCGATACTATTACAAGCCGATAATAAATTCACCAGTGTTTACAGGGTTAATTTCAATTTAGTTAATACGTATTATTTCAATTTAATACGTATTATAGGCGCGATTTGGCTTCTCGAGTTTAACGCAGTCATTTGCGTAATGCGTGAAATAGTAGTGAGAATTATTCGCGAAACATATTTTCCTACGATGACTATCTTCTACGAAACATAGAAAGGAAAAAAGTAGAAAGTTAAGATAATTATTTGACAATATTTTGCGTAAATTGTTTAATGCTTATATATTCTGTAATCCAATTTTTACTTTGACTAATAATGCAAATTGTGTTAAAGTTGATAAGTTCAATTTACATCAAGGGTGAAAAGATTCGATATTTATATTTCTTAAATAATATTGCATTATATAATAACGGAAAATGGAAAATTGTCCTCTTTATGCAGTAAATCTTTCGTATTTTTTTTTATTATGTGTCTATTTTTTATGACTATGATGAATGAAACGAGATACCAAAATCATCATGCAACAGTAGATTTAATTTAGTAATAATTATGATCGCTTTTTTTTAACAATTCTAATTAAAGAAATCTTGCTTCCGCAAATGTTGTTCATGTTTAAAGTCGTGTAAAAAAATTGAAAAAACAAATAAAGAGAGAAAAATAGTACCTATGTGTGGCTTTGCGAGCTAACGATATTAATTGATTTACAAGATTAACCAACCAGATTATTTAATTGAAAATTGAAAAAAGAGGCTATTCTAAATAAATAATAGAAAAAAACATGACTATTTTTTGCTTCTATTATATGTAACAAAATTTAGAGTTGTCATTCTTTTTCTAGAGTTCTGACTGCATATGAGTAATTGACGAACGAGTAATTGAAATATAACCAACGTGATGACACAGGTGATCCTTTTCCATTTAACCGTACGGAAGGGTACGCGTAAATTCCAATGTACGTCTCGGGACACGTGAAGCATCGTGTCGCCGTAAATGGCGGTATTTGCCGAAGTATCCCAAGTATCTCTCCCCGAGCGCAGTCGATCTCTTACGGTAGATCACGCCGGAATGTGCGCGCGCGGCGATTTCCGGCGTTTCCAATGTTAAGGGTCGAGCGCGCACTAATCGTCTTATTGGCTGATCCAACGTTCCCGGTTTCTATCGAACGTCCTGCACAAAGCGATCCAACGGTAGGAAGTCGAGAAGTGTCGCGAAGGGTACAAACACATTGCGTACGACGGTACGACGACGCGGGAAGGACGATAGCCCGAGGGATGGAGAGAGAGAGAACGCCGAAGAGAGGTCGGTAGTTCACGTGCCAGAGAATCGGTAATAGCGCGTCGTATCTTGCCTCAATGTATCCTGATACAACGCGCCGTAATACTAACCGCATACTAATAGGATCCTTTGACGAAAAGCTAACATCTCTCAGCGGGTAAACCGCGCTGCAATTCCGGTCGGGCCACTCCCGGCCTTCTCGCCGGCGCGGCGCGGCGCGGCGCGGCCGGCCTTCTCTTCCTCTGTCTCCATCTACGGTCCATCCGGAATCGATTGCCTAGAGTGGCCTCTTCTCCTCAATGGATTCGTAATAGATTCCGCCGACAACACAGTACAAACGAAGAACATCCCTCTCAAAGATCGGCACCGCGCTCGGAATTCGCAATAGGTATATAACTTAGCTATTATTCGTAACGTCGATTTCACGAGAGATAACAAAATTTTTGCTGGCAGTTTAATGAACTTGTATGAAAGAAGCAAAACGTAGAGAATTTTTCGCTTCCCACGCGATTAAATCTTCGAAAAGTTATTAAGTTACACATTATTGAAACCCGAGAGTTATTTACTCGAGAGTAGCAAAATCGATCGCCGCCGATTTGTCACGTCGATTCGAACGTACAACTGTATTGGGCTTCCTTCCTTGTTAAGCTTATAGCATTCCAGACTTAGAAGGAACGATTGCTTCTTTCTTAGATAACAGCGAACGTCGCTATGTGCCAAGTAGCAATCGATTTAGGGCTGTTAAGAGTCATGATTACCACGGCGAGAGTGGTCGTCGGAAGGACGCCCGTACTTCCGAGTTGAACGACACAAATGGATGGTAAAACGTTTCCGCCGTCCGCGCGGAGAATCCTGATGAAGCCGCAGAAATGAGAGTAAACGGAAGCTAATATAAAATATGCAAGACGGCCAATATCGTGAATGTTTCGTGTATGCGATTGAAAACTGCAGGAAGCTCCACTCGCTTCTGGACCTGTTCGGTGTCGAGGCTCGCGAGAACACTCGGATATGCAAATTCTTCCGATGCAGCCAGCGCAAGCATTTCTCGACCGTTGCATTTTTCGTGTTATTTCTCACTTCTTGCACGCAGTTTCTCCAGGAGATGGATTTTATATTCACTTATATATAACGTTTTTCCCCCGAAATGTTCCTGGAGTCTTATCAGACTTATTTATGCATCTTACATTTCTTTTCGAAATATTATCGTATTCTTTTTTAAAGCTTCTTAGTTCACAAATTGATATTCAGAAAATCAGTATCTAAAGTAATTAGGAAGATTTATTAAGATAAACTCTCTGATATTTTAATGTACCTACTTAAAAAGACACTTTTTATCGTTACTGTCGTAATGACTTATGATTCTCATATCTCTCCTCATGAACTATTTGAAACTGATGTGAGGCAGTTAAAAATCTCGTATCTTTTGCATCCATAGCAAAAACGCATATTGTATAATTTCATGTTTTTGGAAAAAAAAAAAGATACGGGAAGGTTTATTTTACGTGGCATGAAACATGGCAACTAGCTAAATTGCAAACTAGATTCAGCATTTTTTATGGGTGAAGACATGCTTGCGGTTGATGTCGAATACGTAGCGCGCAGTTGGCAAGAAGGGCATAGAAACGGCACGTATCCGGTTTGCTGCATTAACGTGATTCCAGTATAATCACGCGCGATACATTTGTAATAATGAATGAATTTACGAGAGAACAGCAGTTCTCGTCGTTATTCATAAGCGCGATTCTCGTTGAAATTTCAACAAAGTCTGCTGTTTTTGTCTGACAAAAATAATCTCGCGTTTCATATAAAATGCATATTACCGCGAAACCCACATTTAGCGTCACGATATTGGATTACGCTTTTAACAATCGGATTTCTTTCACGCACGAAAAGTAATAAATATCTAAAGGCCATTGCACGTAACAAAGTTTTAGTTTTAATCGTAAGGCCGTAAGAAAATAGACCAATCACTCGATTATTCTTCAAGCGCGAGAAGAATAATCGACTGTGATTGGTCTATTTTCTTACGGCCTTATGATTACAACTAACATTGTTACGTGCAATGGCCTTAAATTTAACGAAATCTCTAATCATCAGCGCTTCACGGTCACATATAGTGCTGATGCAGCGTTTCACAATTTTGACACAGAAACAAGATTCAAATATATACGACGAGGTAAAATAATTGCAAATATGGTTTTAATTTTGATACTAAAATATGAATGTAATTAAAATATAAATTTTCGAGTCGAAAGCATAACCGCGTTAAACAATGGCCCTGGGATTTTACTAAAATACAAAATTTATGTAATCTTGCTGTTGCAATTTATATATAAATTATAATTATATGTATTAGTATATTTTAGTATTTTAATAAGTATATAAAATAATAGCAGCAAAATTATATAAAATTTGAAACAAGTTTTTTTTTTAATTATTAATTCTATTGTCTAATGTGCTCACAATACATTTATTGTTATACGTAACAAAAAATATTTCTTTTATTAAGTGAAACATTTTTCAAATAAGCCACATAATTGTTAACGATAATCATAGCAGCGACAGTAATAATAGAAATAATTTTTTAATGATCGTCCACTCGATATATTATCAATAACAAACAGCTTCGCAAAGGAAATAATGAAGCATCCTTTCGAATAATCAGGCTAAGCGTACAATTCAAATCCTGCTACATTTGGAATCGTTCTGCGTCCGGCGCCGCGTGTAAATACATCTGCACGCGAGGGTCATACGTGCGAGAGACAACGACGGTTCCGGCGATTCCCGGGAGTTTCATCCGGCAGATTGAGGAGGGTGGAGGAGCGCGCGGGGGATCAAAAAATCTGTTTTGTCCTGCGGGGAAATCGATCGGCCGGAACGCGGCCCGACACAATCGCAGGCGAGCCGGATGCGAGAGCGCCGAAATATGGCAAAGGACTAAAACTGCGATTACACGCGGGATAACGGGCGCGAGGTCGAGAGTTTCGCGGCGCGGATAATCGAGCACGCGCATTCCGGCGACGCGACGCGACGCGATGCAACGCGATGCGACGCGGCGCGACGTATACGCCGACGAGTCGATAGGATTACCTGGCCGTCGACACGACAAAACCGACCATCGGCCGTGGCTGTCAGCACGTCAGTCAGGCTTTACTTCACCGCGTTATTGTCCGTTTATTAATTTATGACCACGGCCCATGCGATTGTTTATAACGCGAATGTTCCGACGACCGGGCACACGCGATTGAGCCGTTTGGCCTGTCGTCAAGCAGCCAATGAATTCTATTATATAAATTATTTCGAGGGCCTTTTATCATTAAAGTGATATAGCGACATATACACAGCGATCTGTGCTTCATAAAGCACTGCGTTCAGCTTGATAGAGATAATAAAAATTCTCAGCCGAGAACCAAGTGTAAAAGAAAAATCAAGAGGCATATAAATCATACAGAAATATAGCAGTCTCGTGAAAAAAGATTTGAATAAATATGCAATCAGAATAAGACCTGAGTAAAAAGAGTTTAATATATCTATCATCACGACGTACGGTTCATGCGCACGAATTGGCAGATAAATCCCGCAGGAAACGAAATAAGACGCGCATGTCCGAAAAAGAACTTGACTGGTCTTCTACTGCATTATGATAATGATGTTGCATTCGCGCGGGCAAATACCTCGGGTGGAAAGACGTGACTGGCCGGCCAGGCCAGTCGGTTGCATCATCGGCGAGTGATCGTTAAACGCATCATCGACCGTGTGACAAACGGCCGGCGGTTCGTCGGCCATGTGCGCAACCGCGTATAATTAATGCAAGCGATCCATTCGTCAATCGGACGCGATATCCATCTACGCGTTGCTAATGAATTCCGCGATCATCGTCTAGCCGCTTCGACGCGCGTTTCGACAGCAGGCACGACGGGATTCTCTCGCACGAGAGACCGGATAAAAGCGGTTGCGTGCAGGATCGGTTGCAGAGTATACTTCTCTGCCTCGGGAATTTTTCTAACAATCAGATTATATTTTATCTCAATATTCATTTTTTTTTTTTTTTTTTTTTTCAATACTAATCGTATATTTATTTTAAGTATTTTGCAGAAATTTATTACTTAAAAAAATGTTTATTTTATTAATACGTCCTAGATGCAATATAAGTTTATTCGTAGATGGACAACTCGTTTGATTGTGCGATTCGCCATTACGGTGAGAATATCATTATCGCGGTGAGTTTATTAGAAATTGTTACGTCTATCGCGTGAAAGTCCTCGGTTGAAACATTAAGCATGAAAGGCGACGCGTACCCCGTCGGCTGTTTCAGTGTTTTTGCAAGCCTGTCTTGTTACGATACCACGTAGTACATGCTTTATAGCACCGCGATAAATTACCGTGAAGTCGGTAATTATTTTTGCGTATGTGAGTAACGGAGAGAGAACTGCGCTCGCGGGCTCACTGTACTAACTTGCCGAGTGTTGCGATGAAATTTATGACCCCATTAAAAATTCCCGCCTAATGTCCTTTGGGAAGCGGAAATTTTTGTGTAGGCAGATAAGTTCTCAATGATACGCAATAAAGACATAATGTTATACTCTCTCTGATATGTTTATCTTCTCGCTGATTATCGTTGTTCAATTATTGTTATTTCCATCCCATTGACGCCATTGACTACCTTGATAACTATGTTGTAAAATGTCACGTGATAAAGAAAGCAATTAACTGACTATATAAAATTGTACTATATAAAATTGGACAGTTGATTTAATTGCTCGTACACCGATAACACAGAGACATAATTATATTAAATAAGCACTTCTCGAGTTTTCTTTACTGATTTCAAATTTAATCGTTTTACGATCAATTTGATTTATTTCTATAGCCGGGATTATTTTGGTTTCATTATTTTTTATATTATGATAACTATTATACGCTTGTATCTCTCGATTCTTTTAATTTAAGAGAGTAATAGACAAGAGCCGCTTGAAGAACGCTATTTTCGATTCCCGTTATTTACAGCGACAGAACACCAATTAAATCCACAAAAAACTTCGTCCAATCGATCGTTATTTCCAAGCAATTAATTTTATGGTCGCCGCAAATTAGTACTACTTTTAGATTGGACGATAATGAATTGGTGTGTCAATATCTATACAGTATGGTATTTAAATTTCACAAAATGTTTAAACTTTATGTGTAAAAGACTTTAATTAGCATTTGAAAAATTCGTAGAAATTGTAACTTGGTAAAAAGAACCATCTGCCCTTTTTTCTACATAAACTCGAGAATTATTTTTAGCAGCTTCGTAAATATCATTATCATGATCCGCTTGATTTGCAGCAACTTGCGGTTGTCTCATAAGAGTTCAGTGGAATTAGTTCGCGCTGTGTCATTATGGAACCGAGTCACAGTACCGGAGTACGCGGATACGGCCCGTGGAGGTGTACTCATTCGCAAAAACGAGCGTGCTTATCGCGGCAGTGAGAGGAGAGAGCAATTTCATGAGTTCGGTGCCGTGGTTATTCGCGCGTGCACGAAAACAGTCGATGGCCACGGCGCGATAATGGAATTTAATAATGCGATATGCGTTCTCTCTCTCTATTTCTCTCTTTTGTTTCGGTGCCCTTCTCTCCTTTTCGCCCTCATCGTCTTTCAGTTTCTCCTCCTCGCAACGATGCGGCACGGCACGGCGTTGAGCAAGTGCACGGGCATGTCGGGCCAAGCGCGCTCAGTGGCAGTGGCTCGGTTCGCCGGTTAATTAGCCATTAAATATCAAGCAGCCGGCACGAGACTGCACGCAGATGGTATTTCGGATCAGTTAGAGCAGTTAGCAATGGGCAATTACGGATAATAAACAGACTGCGCGACTGCGGCAGCGAACGGCGCGCGTGGCGTGTTGTACGAATGGTCCGGGAAGCCGAGTATAGCGTTTGTACGGTGCAGAGATGCATAAAAATCAAAATACCATGAAGTATAATTTTCGATATTGTCGGAAAATTAAAGTTTTCTCTTTAGATCTCTGCCAAAAATTAAAATAATGGTAAATTGATACAAAAAGATTTAAGGTTAAAACTCTTAACAATGGAAGATTTAAAATTAAAAACGCGTAGAATTAAAAGAACAGCAACTCAAGAGCGAAATATTTATTTTGCGTTGACAGCCCAATTTTAAATCGACCGTGGTTTGAATCTGATATATTCGTATATGTCATATTTCTTCCTACAAAACGAATATCGAGCGCACCGCAAAAATACCAGCGCTTCATGAACATGGAAATTCGAGGATACATTCGCGATAATCATTTTGCATTCATTTCAAGATAGATTAATTTAATCGGCACGCTCAAAATATCGAACTGGATAAACCATTAACATCAATATTTGATTATTCCCTAGTACTGCACACACACACACACGCGCGCGCGCTCGTTATCTGACTATCCAGATTGAATCCAGTTAAATGTGAAAATCGTCTTGTTTCGAGCTTTCTCGGATTTGCTGTATTCGACGAATGTGTTCGATGTCGGACGTTACTGATCGCGATTTGAGCGAGTGATCGATTGCGCCGCGCTGGTTTTCTCTTACCGTAACAAGTCTAGCGTTCAAGTAAAGTAGCAGCAATTGCAGTTTTGCAGTAGTCGTACATCTCTCATTTATTTACAATTTAATTAAAACTAAATATAAAATGTGTAATAGTTAGAAAATAAATAATATATGTAGAATAAATAATTAATATGCAATAATATAATATAATATTAGAATAAGTAGAATAATTTAAATAATGAATCAAATATACAATTTTTATATTTTTTTAGAAATTTAGAATGTTAGTTTATTCTATAATTAACTTTAATTTATTATACTGAGACACGCTTCTAATCATTGCGTTATTGTTCCTGCAATTGTGTTTATTCATGTTTGGTCTACAGTTTACATTCTACACGTTAATGTGCAAGTGCAGGTTTTCAGTTTTAACATAAAATGCATATTACCGCTTACTTGAGAACCAGACCATATTTACAAACAAGTCGTTGAAATATGTATATAAAACACATACACACAACACACACACTAGACAGACTTCTTACCTTTGGTAGGTTGCCTGAGGTCCACCCGGTGTCACGGCGGTGGTCGTGTTTTGTGTGGCGAGCGCGAGCTTCTGCTGTCGATGTTGGAGCATCTGCCTGCTGAAGACCCCGTATCCGAAGCCATAGATTTCGTCCTCCTCCTTGTCGCTGAGGCAGCTCGAGGGCTGCGCAAAAATGGAGATCGTTCGCTCTTTTCCTGCTCTATCTATACGGGACGGTATAGGTTTTGCTTGCGAAGCAGTACTGGCTACCACTTACGTTATAAATGGGAGGAGACACGGGCACGGTATTAAAGACTCGTTACATAAAAGTTGTTGTGAATTTTGTGAAAAAAGAGATGGCTTAATTGGACGTGAGAAGATCAATATAATCGTGTTATTAAAAACGACAAATAAGTTCTCTGAAAATATTTTCCTCTCTTTTTTTTTTATAGAACTGCGATTATACAAGTTAAAAATTGGCAATGTATTCATTTTTGCAAACAAGGTTAACTTTTTCTATTTTAAATATTCGCGAGATTATTGTTCTGTTGTATATAATTAAGAAAACACAAAATTTTAATAACATAAGGCATAACGCATAGAAATCGAGAAAGAAAATTATTAAACGAGACTCGACTGATTAAGTGAAAGAATCGAGCAATCGTTTTCGCGTTTAATCAAAATACTCCGGAGAGAGTGACTTTTATATTAAATTTTCCAAATCGACATATCATCGATCTTCGAAGCAGGCTGACCTTAATAGTCAATCAATTGCTCACGTTTGAAAACTCGATTAGCCGCGAGGAGAAAGACTGAGTAACGAACAATAACCGATTTAAACTGGAATCGATAGAGTCTACATGGTTAATCGCCTTAAAGCATTTTAGGAAGTTACTCATGGAGAAGCCGCACGAATCCACAAACGCAAAGTGTTGGAACTTCAATGAAGAATCTCTCATTAAATTTCTCTTTTGCTAAACATATTCGTTCATGTGTATAAAACATAGAGATATTAATTAAAGAGATATTATAATCAGCATATTTTAAAAAATATATTAAACCTACGCAATTACAATTCGTATAATAATCTTTCTATCTCAATACGAGGATTTTTATTTATTACCAATTACTTATTACCGATCGAATTACTCTTGTCAGACACATACTTATATATCTCGTCGCAAATATTGTTGAAACGGTAATTTTAACCTTATGAATACGTTTATTTCATTGATTGCTCGATATATACGCGATTGCCTATTTTCTCTGTGACAAAATTGTCTCCGTCCGTCGAACAGAGAGACAAATGCTCGTATTGAATCAACTGGACGCGTTCTTCTCGCGAGTTCTGTCCCTTCGAAAGCAATTTGGCGAAGTGTCAGGGGAGTAGAGTAATAAGAAGAAATCGCGGCGATAGACAAGCTACTATATGTCACCCTATAACCGCATTATGCCGCTCGCGGAAGCAATAAAAGGAAAGAATCGACGCCCGGGAAGGGGCAAATAAAAGCGAATATGAGGGATTTGCTCACCGAGTATTTTCCGGGCACGTAAATGGGCTGTGAATGACTGGTGGTGAGCTGAGTGTTGGGGATTCGGGCGGAAGAGTTTGTTTCTCGCCGGCGTAGCTCCTCGAGCGGCTCAAGGACATCCCCGTAATGTGTCCTGAAGAGATCTGCATATCTTGAAGCGAGCCCTTCCAAATACCCCCTCTCGCCCTCCTGTAACATGCAACAAATCGAAATGATTAGAAGTTGCCGCAAATAATATAATAAACGCAATATATGTAAAATTTGTGCACATAAACATGTCCATTATTTTACGTGTAACGCAAAAAAGATGCCGCAACGATAGTTGTAAAAAACTATCGGTCTCGTACTGTTTAATTAAAAGATCATTATTTCGAAAATCAAATCGCTGAATAATAAATACATTTTTCTTGTTATATTGCAGTGTCAAAAATCACTTGCGTGTGATAAAGTAAATTTGTATAAAATGCGTTAAAATTTCTCCATTAGTTGATAAATTAATAAATGACTGTACATACAATTTTGAACGCAACCGTCATAAGATCAATTCATGTTGGAAATATGGAACGAATTAGATTAATTATTGAGTCCTTTATTAATGAAGGCTGACAAAAGCATATGGGATTTTCCCACATGTTGCAAATAATAACGAATGATAAATATGTTATCTGAGTAAATGGGATAATCACGTTGCACGTATAGTTTTTCAATACACTTGGATCTACATTATTGCAATCGTAATATGTTCAAACCGATTTTGTTCTTATTACTGATTTTTTAATTATAATTTTATTTACTATACTAAAATTTTATTTATTATTAAATTATTTCATTTAATATTATAGGTATATTAGATTAATTACACACATATATGCTCTCTTTTGGTAGATATTACTTGCATATTTTGCGTAACATATGCGCAACTTAAAATGACGAAAATTTATAAAGTACTGTAAGGAAAGACTCTGAAAATAATATATTTTTATGTCAATGTTGATAATATTGCATTAAAAATCGTAGCATTTCTTATCAAGCAAACTGATATTCTCGAGATGTTTTCTCGCGCATAAAAAATGTGTGTACACATACAGCCTGTTTTCCCGAATCGAGCCAAGCCGGCGCAATGGTGTATGATTCAACAAGGTAAGCGCACTGGCGGATGTAAAGGGAAAAGAAAGTCAAACGTCTAGGAAAGGACGTACGGTCCAGAAGAAAAGAAGAAGCGGACAACGGGAAGTAAGAGAAAGCCGAGGATAAGGATCGGTGTACGACGAAGGTTGGTGTCACATTAATATTTCAGGATTCCACTTCCGTCGCTTTCCGATTCGACTCTCTCGGCTCGTAGTAACCGTGAGAGGACTGTGTACGTCCTTCCCTTTTATGGCCGCGAGGAGGAAGCGGAGGGGATAGTGGGTGCAGGAGGAGGATCGTGAAACGGGAACGCTTTGTCTGGCACGAATCGCCTCCTATTTACACTTTAAGCGGCCTCCATCTATCGTCTGCCTCCGCTGCTGCCGTCGCCGCGCGCTGTCGTCTCTCCGCTAGGTGCCGGCAAACGATATTCCGCGGCTACCAGCGCGGTCGTCTCCCCCGGATTTAAATCCCATTTGTAAATATTCCCTTCGCGGCTGTGAGTGAATTACGTGGGAATTATGCCTGACGCGAAGAAGCAGTTCATCTTCCGCGCGCGCGCCCGCTCCAATTTCGCGAAAGGCGCTGACAGGCTTTACGCAGCTTCGCGACAAAGTGCGGGATGCGTTTAATTCCCCGACGGTGACATGGCGAAATAAAGAGGATCTTTTCTGCGTGCAATGTAATGGAATATAAGATGTGTTGTACACCAAACAATTACGTTCGTTGGCAATAACATAACAAATTTTTAAAGAAAATCTCTAGTACATTTTTATTAGAAAATATCTATCTAATAAATCGATCATATAAAAGAAGTTGAATTTGTGTAGCTATAAACATACGAATCATTTCCGGTATTTTCTTCAATGCTCTCGCAAATAATAATCAATCAGCTTAAAACCCATTTTACTCCGATCAAATCTGTAGTAAACACACACGTGACACGTAATACGCATCGGTAACGCCACAGATATTCAATGAATCGATGGGAGAATGGAGTCATCAATTGCAGAACGTCAAACGTCAAGATTTTCATTACGATATAATCTATTCCGACGGAGGGGTCCTACCTCGGGACGAGTTAGAGAAGACATTAAGGCGAGTGTCGAAGACGCGCGAAGGATGAAACGAACGGAACGAGTCATCGTTCCGGCACCCGTCCCTCTTCCCGCCCCCTTCGTGTGCCCGTTTCCTTCGCCCCTTTATCGATAATCCGCGAGTATTAATTAGAATTCCAATCTTCCGATTTAATACGATGTGCCCCTCCCCCCCGCCGTTTCCAACACTTTCCTCCGCAGTTCCAACCTCTTCCTTCCACCTCCTCTTTCTCCTTTTCTGCCCTTTGCCCCCCCGCCCCTCGTTATTTCCCACCGAGCGGCTTAACGGTCAAACTGAAACTTTCAAATTGAGGGCGCATAAAGCGAACGAATTTTGCACGCGCGGGCACGACTCTTTGGAACTTCATCGTGTCGTAAATTAAAATTTCATCCATGAACGGATAATTGAGGAGTGATTAAAGCGTTCATTTTGCCAAGCTGGTTGGCGAAATGCTGCAGGAATGTCCTGGCGGTCAACAAGACTCCTATCTCGCTCTGTTTTGATGTTTCATCAAAAACCTTCGCGGTCGTTTATGTTATTTGTGCTCGAAAAATGATTTAAAACAGCCTGAAGCTTGAAACTCGTTTCTTATTACGACAAATCTTTTTTATCGCAAACGGTTAAGAAATAATCTATATTTGTCATAAAAATCAATAATAAATATCAAATAAAAATATATTAAATATATGGTTACAAAGTTTCGGCGTCGTGCAATCCACTTTCAATGTAAAAAAAAAAAGACAAGCCGAACGAGTGTTTAGCAAAATATAAAACACGCAACGAGAGCATTCCTTTTGACTACTCTGTGATCTTTCAACGCGCATCCGAATTTCTCAATTCTTTAGAAAAGATGTATTTCCGGTGTCTTATATATAATTGCATAATAGAGAATTACCGCGGGAAACATAATTGCACTGGTGTCGCGCGCTATTTTTAACGAGCACGCCGGGTTTCAGCGATTAGCCGGGTTTTACAAGGGACAATAAGATTTCTTCTGTAAATAGCAAAAACAGTTGGCGCACCAGGTTTTTCTGCGCGCGAGCTAAGTACCCGCACCAAGGTAAAAGTTAATTTTCTGCGCTACCATTCTATCGCGCCACCCGTTCTATCCGGCAGAAACCATTTCATTCTAACGAGATAGCGGTATACAACATTAGCTACCTGGTTCGAGTCGACGCTTTGGACGGACATCCTAACAGCGCAACGACAACCGCCCCTTCAGCAGCTCGATAACAAGGCGCGCACTGTAATTATGTTTCGTCTCCTCCCCCGTCATAGATTTTCCGTGAGACTACACGACACACATTGCTATTTGAGAAATTGCCGTTACCTTTGACCGAGAGAATTTTACGGATAATAAAGACAGTTTCGGCATAACAAACGACGCCGTTACATTATTACGACATACATGGTACGTATACCTTATCGTTCGTCAAGTTTTTGTTAAAATGGATCTTCATTAACCGCCGTGTAAAGCGGGAATGAAAAAGATCGTAGAGAAAAAAAAGAAAAAAAAATGAAAGAATGCTAATGCGTCCCGGACGAACATTTACGCAATGCACCCCGTAATGCATCGTGACTGCTATCGCATATTTCCGTGCTAAAATTTTCCGCGTAATATCGTACGCGCGCGGTTTCTGTATTACGGTGGGAATGACTGCTGCGCTTTTGTAGCGCGATCAGCAACGCAGAAACGGACTTTTCCGCGTGAAATATTATCTCACTTGCAGAAAGGATTACGTTGAATTGACAAGTAAGCTGCTCAAAGTTTGACGGTCGATAACGTTTTGAATTCTTCGTTGCACTTTTCCGAGACTCCGTTTTGCGGAGGGATCACGGAAAATCGGAATCGCGCTCCGAAAAGGGGATCGAAAGCGAACTCGGGAGAATAAAATATACTTGTGCCCTATTTATCTATCGTTCGCTTCCGCTCGCGGCGGAGTTGGCGATTCCTTCGGTTAACTTTTGTATCGGCGCGCCCCTTCTTTCTTTCTTTCTTTCTTTCTTTCCTCGCCTGCACCGTCGGAATTCAAAGTGGTCAGCGATGCGCGCGTGATCCGCTTTCGTTCAAGAGGATAAAGCCCGCGAAAACCGTTAGTCATTAAGAAGTGAGAGGGAACGGATCGAAAAATCAAGCGCGTCCGTCAGTTCTCATATTTCCTTTGAAGTAGGCAAACCCACTTTCAGAGTGTTAACATTGCCGAGCGCGCGGCACAACTTTCCGGAAAATTATTTTACTCCGGGCGAAGGCAATCCCTATTGACTCGCCCGCGATCGCTTCGACGAGGTTACGGGATGAGAAGGAGCGAGGGTAGTGAAGAGGAGAAGAGGAGAAGGAAGTAGAGGGAGGGAGGAAGCGGTCGAGATGAGATAGAAGAGCGGAAGAAAATTGAAAAGTCAAGAAGCTCCCCCCTCGTCCTGCCGACGTGCTCGAGTTTAACCGCGTACTGCAAGACGAGCTTTACTCTCTTTACTTCTCCTTCCTTTTATATCGGTCTATTTATCCACCTATACCTCCAGTTTTCTTTCTCTTTCTCTACTCCTCTCCATTTCTCGATGACTCACCGTCTTCTTTTTCTTTCGCGGTATTCTGTCTCTTTGTGCTCTTTTACATCTCATTTTTTTATCATGTCACAAGCACGCTTTTCGCTCACTGATTCGAAAAAATTCTCATCAACGGTTACTGATGTGATTGCAGACGAAATGTCGTGTAACAATGATCGTATAGTATATTTCCTGATAAAAATTATACTCGGAAGTGTACCGCGCTTTTAACGTTCGTCAAAGATTTTCGAGCGCAAGGTATTCGATAAACAAAAGCCCTCATATAAATAAAACGCCCCCATCACGCAGCGCAATGGTCATTCCATTGCGCTGTTTTCTGGTGGCAGAATGCGGCATCCGTGAGCATTCGCCGGAAATGAACCATCTCTCGTAGAGGCGCATATCGATTTCGCATATAC